CTGGAGAAATTTAATGTGGACCCTCGAACGCTGGTCGTCTTCCAGCTACGGTGGAGGCTTGGATATTCGGCGACGAGGCTGGTGCCGTGACTGAAATAGCAGTAACAACACAGTGTTAAATGGCTAAACAAAAATCCCAGTCCTTCCTGCTTGTCAAGTGGAAATATAACAGTTATTCAGAGCTAGGCAAGACGAGTTGAAAGGAAGCAGTAAGTGAGGGTTCGAAAAAAAAGATTCTCAAAAACTGCCCTTATTTCTTACAGCTTCGCTCAGTGATATCTTGTCTCTGTACTATTTGCGCTCTGCCGACGTATCGTAGGAAAACGATCCAGTTTCTGTGCAGGAAAAATTTCATCACGATGAGCACAAAACAAACGGGCGTACGAGTTGCATGGATCAATACGTAAAATTCGAAATCCTAATAAGAGCTGCTTTGTAATGGGCACAATGGAGATTTTTGTCTTGGAAATTGTTAATTTGTTACTTTTATGTGATCAAAATTATGTTAATTATAAATGAATGGTCACTCTAAAAAGTAAGCGGTCATTTAAAGAATTCTGCAGAGATAGCGTGCATATTGAGTGAACTGAGCAGGCAGCCATTAGAAACAGATATCCTGGTTTATGAAGACTCAGTCTGCTACGTGTAAGGTGTTAATTCCTTCCAGTGGCACCGAAGACTTTATGTGCAGTAACCAAATTTCTCATAAATGTTCCACTTTTGAGTCACTGAGCGCTATGGCAAATCTTTGCGTATGAAGTTTCATGGATTCACTTTGCATGTCGGAAATTGCGAGCACCTGTGTCTATTTGTTGCGTTCTCCTGAGTACAAACAAAAATTGAGCGGTGCCCCGCATATTTGTTTTATTTAGCGGCAGGTTCTCCACCGAAATCGGCTGCTGTCCGTTAAATATATCCACTATTTCATATCCTGAAATGGAAACAGTGGACACTTTGCTATTGCCCAAGTTATTTGTAATACTCTGGCTTTTTTCCTTAAATCACATTTAGACAAATAGCTGATGGTACTTTTCCGTAATTTTTTATGATTTTTGGTAAGATTTTTATGATTCCGAGTAGTTTTTTACGATTCATAACGTTTTTGGTCAGAAATTTTTGGTTTTTTTAGTATTCGTTGCAACAATAAAAGATATAAATTACGATTTCTTCAGGAAAAAGGAGCGCCCTACATCGCTCCATATACATATCACTCCTGCTTATGATAACAACTTATCCATTTTTCATTTTCCGTCAAACATATATGTGAATGTTAATTTTGCTTCAATGCACGTCAGTGAAATTCTTTATTCACCTGGGAAGTAGCCTGAGCGATAGCAAATGTCAAAAAACAGCCACCATTCCGCTCGTGGTCTTAGCCCTACAATCTTCTTTTCTCCTTTAATTCTTCGTCATAATAAATCCAGCCTCACTCCGGGTCAATAGGATTCCAGACCATGTTTGCGCCTGAGCCCCGTCGGGCTTGGTGGTACAGTATTTTAGAAGTTTGAGCGCCGTCACTTTTACACGCTTCACAATTACGGGATAGGTATACCGGTCCGGCCAATGTTACAATCACCACTAGAGGCAATTTTGATATGTTATATGCAAATGCGAAAACGCATATTGTGACGACCCCGGTGTGTGTGTGTCTGTCTGTCTGTCCGAGTATTTCAACTCGGCACCCAAGCAGGCTCCGGCGCCAAAATTTTGCCACCAGGTTCCCCTACCAAGTGCCACCCCAGCACCGCGCTACTGACCCTCACGCACGTCTCGGCCCGCGTACGAGAGGGTGGAAGTTTTGGCGGAAAAATCGCTAACTCAAAAACAGGAAAAGCTGGAAAGCTGAAATTTTGAGGTTATGTCTCCCATCCACATAGAACTCAGTGATTTCAAATTCAGCCCCCAGGAGTACCTGGTTCCCACGTATGGCCCCGTGAGGGTTCCTGGCGCGAAAGTAGATAGTTTGGGAACCAAGAAAGCCAGGAGGCCGAAATTTTCATGAATTGCTCCCAGCTTATGTACAACCTAAAATTATCGAACTCAACCTCTCAGTCTGCGTGGTCCTCATGTGTGGCTACATGAAACTTTTTGGCGAGAAAATGGACAGCTCGGGAGCCAGAAAGCTAGGAAGCCGAAATTTTCAGGGTATGTCCCCAGCTTCTGCAAAAGTTAGAGACATCAAATTCAGCCGCCAGATACGTATGGTTTTCATGTACGGACCCATGAAATTTTTTGGCAAGAAAATTGCTAACTCAAGAACCCGAGAAGTTGGAAAGCTGAAACTTCAGCGGTATGTTATCTCGTAGACAATCAACTTCTCGAAGTTTGAGGACCAGTACGTTACAAACCCTAGCTACTAGGCTTCCGAGCGATCTTATTACAGCACGAAATACTGCAAAAAAGCATGATCGCAAGGGACCCGCCTGGTGCAAGTCGCCAGTGTTTAACAATAGCTTCCGCTTTCGATGGTTCTTTCTTTGGAAGTAAACTGATGTCATATTTAATTTTTTGACATATTCTAATTACAGTTTGCCATCAAAATGAATGAACGAATCGTACAGAGACAGTTTATCGAACTTCCTTCAGTAACAGTGCTAATTGTTGCTGCGTCTTTTTCGCCGAGTGCTTGACATTTAATAAAGTAATGGAAATTGAAAGATTAAACCTTCCAGCAGCATCGGCAGGCGAACTCTTCCATAAATACGATGAGCATTGAACGTTACCATGTCGATACCCACTGGAATTCCAAGAAACAGAAGTGCATTTTTCTTCATCAAGCAACTTAGCTTTTGCATCTCGAAAAGATCAGCAATAGGATCTATAAATTTTGAAAAAATTTTAGCCATGTGTACTACTCGAAGGGTTTGGCACAACTGCTTTCGATTTTTAGGCACAAATTTCGAAAAATCTTCGAAATATGGGGTGTCTACACTGATGCTTGCGTGGACTCTTGTTCTGGCATGTTACCTATGTGCAACTACAAACTCTGTAAAAGTAGAGGCAACGCTCTTACACGAGGGAGACTTAACGGCCTAAAAATTACAATTTCTTCTAAGTCTTACATTTTCATGTGACCAGACCTCAAAACCGTTTTCGGATGAGATCTTGCTTAAGAAAAAGTTCTTCGGATTTTCAATTAAAATTGCTACATACATGCTTCTAAGTTTCAATAAAAAGCACTGTGTGCTAGAAATGAAAAATCTGGAAAAGAGTTTACACCCCGTAACTAAGTGCAAAATTTAAACCCAAAAAAAAGAAAAAATTGTTAAAAACAAAAGTGTTGACTGAAGAAGGTCCAAAAATCAATAACGGTCTGATCAGAAACCTTTGCTATAGACTGGTTATTAAAAATATAGGACAAGCACGCCACAGATTGACCTTCTTAGGCTGTAATGGTACTTAACAAAAATTGTTGTGTGCATGCTTGTAAGTTTCGGCAAGTTCAAATTTAATATGTGCCCAAGTATACGGTGCAACATTGGTTAAAACAACCATGAAACAAAAAAGGAAGGAAATGGCATAATTGTCCACTTCACCACTAATAAATCAGTAGTAAACTAGTAAGTGTTTCAAGTTTAAGTAGGCAATACCAAATCACAAGCTACAGTTTTTTGATGTATGGTACTTGCCCACTTGTTCCGCAGTTTGTTGCACAGTTTTTTGCAATTTGCTATAAGGAACGTATAAAATGCTTTGGATAAATCGAGTGACTAAAAACTTCTAATATTTCTATTTACACTACCCTTGTTATTCTCTTCTCACGATTCCTACACGATTCATGCAGGATCCAGGGAGTTATTGATATTTTGAATTTTGTGCTATGTCCCGTGATCGCTCGTCAGTGCTCAGTGTTATTACAGTTTTACGGGGTTTTTAAAATTTTAGTTATTTATTCAAATTATTTTCATTATGCAAATTTTAGATTTTTTTCTTACCGAGAGGATCACTGTAACGTCCCAGGCCACTGTGTTCAATACTCGAATATGACACAATAAAATCGAATGTTTCAGAATATCTGAAAAAAGAGGGCTGGCGCAATCACGTTTTCTTTTCATTTAATACGTCGGTTTGTAAATGTAATTTGAAATTAACAAAAACATTAAAAAATATTTGGCCAAGAAAGGAGAGAAAAAAGGAAAATTCGCAATGTTTGGTTACTGCTCAGATCGGCGCATTTCAATTTTTAGCTATATTTCAATTTTTTATGCGTTTTTTGCAGCTATGCATGCAAAAAACGCATATTGACGAGAGGTTGTCTATGTTTCTGTGTGTCTGTGTGTCCGTGTGTGCGCTTGTCACGGTTTTTCATCTCAAGACCTACAAAAGCTGCAGGGCTGAAACTTTGTGAACTTGATCTAAATGCACGTATGGGCCCCAATCACCAAAATTGGCGTCATTACTCGCGTGGTACCCGCGTACGGGCCCGCCAAAATTTTTTTCGGGTAAGTTCATAACTCGGGTATCTGAGAAGCTAGAACG